GAATAAGCACGACAAATTACTAAAAAATCATCTCAAGTAAAACGTTCGGACAGTCGCAAGACAGTTCATTAAATTCTAGATTAAATGCAGCAACTTAGCCTTACCGATGCTGGTAAAATGCAAATGTTTCCTGTGACGTTCTCGAAAAAAGTCTGACGTCAGTCACTGTTTGCATACAGTACAAGCACTAGCCAAGCGTGCCGACACAGGAATGGCAAGAAGTGGTAGCCTAGACGATTCTCAAACCAAATAAACTTCCTGCAAATTTTCGAAATAAGGACAGAAAAATGGTGAATCACTGGAAGTGTTACAATTAACCGTGACCAGCTCATAAGTTCGAAAGCAATTGCTGTCTGTAATCAGTGGCGGATATTCTGCACGCATTGTGGTAGACACCACGATAGCTCGTGCTGAGATTGGGCACCACGCCACAATACATATCTTAACTTCGGTGTCACTGAACTGACCCTAGCAACTGTCACGACGAACCATTATATCTGATAGGCATTATCCTTTATAAATCTGTAGATCTTGCACGTTATTTCAGAGCAATAATCTAATTATGCTTTGATATGAAACGTCTCAATATCACACAATAATACACAAGTGTCCATGGCAGGGTGCCCCACTTCTCCACCACGCCTTGACAATCCTATTTGTAGACCTGATGTTAAATTCCTACCACCAAAACATAACATATCGAAACTTTGACAATGCCGTTAAAAATAATGTTACAAACTAATCACATAGCTACAAACCCATTCAGAGGTTTCATTAACAAAGTTCTATTTAACCTCCAAGTCACAAGTAACTTTGTACACCACCTGCGTTTATGCTCACATCTCCGTATGTCGTTCACGGTATATTTATTTATTAAAGACAACAATGGTATCCTAGGTCGTTGTTGCGATGTGACGAGTTCATTGTTGTAAGCCAGATTAATCCAGTCCATACCACCCCATCCTATTTCTCTCAGGTCCATTAAAATATTATCCTCCTACCTACATCTTTCTTTCTGGTTTGCCCATCAAAACTATGCATTCCTCATCTCTTTCATGCAGGCTACATGCCCTGCCCATCTCATCCTTCTTTACTTCATTAATCTAATTATATTTGGCGAGGAGTACAATGACCTGACATTTTTGCAAAAAATATGTTTTGACAATGGCTCAGATTCCCACTGTTGAAACAATGTGTTCAATGACCACAGATCCCACTGTTGCAACAATGTGTTCCAATGACGCAGGGTCATGCGGGTTCCCTAGTTCACAGCAAAAAAAAGTTGTCAGTGGAACCACGGTTCCGGAGAATTTGACGTAAATACGTCTATACGGAAAGGAAGTTTATATATTGGCTTTATTCTAAATATTTCCTTTATACATGCTTTACAATTGAGTAAAGTGTGATTAAGACATTGCTTATTCAACTTGAATTAGTTACGCTTAAGATGGGTCTGTGGTAGATGAATGTAATGTAATGTAATGTAAGGTAAGGTAAGGTAATGTATTGTAATGTAAGGTAAGGTAATGTATCTATTTGTTGATAAACAGATGACGTTTCGTAGGTAACAATAATGCCGAGTAAACAGACGACGTTTCGTAGGTAACAATAATGCCGAGTAAACAGACGACGTTCCCTAGGTAACCATTGTTACACTTTTTCGTTTTTGCCGAATGACCCTTCCCTATAGACGTATTTACGTCAAAAAACTCGACAGACAGACATATGGACGGGCCCATGAGATGCCCTTACCTCACACTAGATTGTGAAGAAATGGGTGAAATGGCAAAAAATGCAGAAGCCACCATTAATTTATTGGATGTTCTTTATGCTCTAGCCTGTATGTCTGCCTATCAATTGCATTTCACTTGGAGGTAGGCAACGTGCATGATTGGAGGTAACAGCTTCACTACAAAGGGAACCCACCATTATTGTTAATCCTATTATTACTGATCTTACTTTTTTGTTATTCCTATCCCCATTCCTACTGTTACAGTTGTTCCAATTGTTATTGTCATTCCTTAGCCTTGCCTTCACTGGGCTGGGGGGGCCCCCCCCCCCCCCCAAATTGCTGATGCTCTGGTAGAGAGTAGACCTCCAGATAACCTGGACAGTCCCCAATGGGCTTTGCCCTCCCCCCCCGAGTAACTAGAAGTCTTCTGGACACTGATACCCCTGGGGACAAGCCCAGTTAATGCCCCCCCCCACCCCTAACAAAGTGATACCAACTGATGCTAAACTACACAGGCCCTTTTCCAGAATGCTTAAACTGAAAAAGAAAATCTGGTTCTAAATTTCAGGGGTGTGCCCTGAGAGTGCAGCATGGTCTATGTGGGACAGATCCAAACATGGGCCCAAGGCACGTATAGATAAAAGACAGCTGGCTTCCACTGCTACGTCATATACCCTGATGATGGTGATAAAGATGGTCCCTGAAACTTCATCAAGTTGACATGGGTGATTCTATCAGTATTACAAACATATAAAATTTATATACAGGACTTTTTATAGTTTCTAGAATGTTTACTGGAGCAAAAGAGAAAAAAATATTCAAATGCATATGGGATCAAACCTTGACACCCACTTAACAAGTCCACAACCTTATCACCTTGGCTACCATGCCTCACTTGAAAATTAGTCAACTTTACACTTACCAAATGGAAAAATTTAGAATCCTATACTTCAGAAACTAAGGACTGTTTGCAAAAAAAGAAAAATAGGTTCCTCTCTATTCAATTTACTTTCCACTGATATCATTTTCACTGAAATCCTTAACCCAAATCAGATGGTCTCTCCTTGTGAACTTAAAATAATGGCAAAGTGTAATACTGGTTTTTTTTGGTTATCAATCCTAGGATTGGTTAGCAACCCCATTTTGGGGTTGTTTCTTGCAAAGATACCACAGTGGTTTTGCCTTGCCTTCCATGGCCAGTCTGTATCCAACAGACTGGAAGAGAGGGGACGTGGACAAACATTCATGCCTTGAGTGGGACTCGAACCCACGGTTTCAGCGGCCAGGTGCATGAGGTCCATGCCTCAGACCATGTGGCCACTGCGGCCGGAGTAATACTGGTTAACTAACTCAAAATACACAAACAAATATATATATAATTTCAAGCTGAAGCTTAATGCATTATGATTCAAAAATAAACCTTCAAATAATATGGATTGCTGCCTTGTCTAACCTTAAACCAACATAATTTTCGTATCAAAAATATGTAGTATTCACTTTGTTAACCTAATCCTTCATTCTACATTCTATTGCAAAATAACAAACTATGATCATGCTGAACCATCCAAATGTCCTTCCTAAACTGTGGAAGTTACCATAATACATGCAAAACAATATTAATATGTATGATTTCAGGTTTTCACAGTGGCGAGTCTGAAGATTGCTGTCTTCTGGGTTATTGCGCTGTGTAGTCCGGCAGATTTCCACCAACATTTCAGATGTCATACTGCCTCTGTCATCAGGGCAGAGGCAGTAACACCTCTGAAACATTGGTGGAAATCTGCCACACTATATGGCGCAATAACCAGAAGACAGCAATCTTCATTGTCAATATTAATATGCATCACATCCATAATTAGTACTGGCAAGACATAACACAAGTTCTGCATTACTTACAGCACTTGAGTTGTGATACTGTCGGCTGCATTAAATTGGAACAGAATAAAGACAACAGTATAATTTTGATTCAACAGTACTGAATCAATGCATTCTAACAAGAAAATATTAAACTAATTAAAGCTCACAAATCAGTAAATCAAAACTTATATCAGTACAGTCAACAGCCAGTTGCCTCTCCAAATGAGTACACATTATATCCATGCCCCGCACTGGTATAATGGGACCTTAGCTAATATTTTAATAGTTTCATAAAATTGAGACTCCATCCTTTTTCATCAATGTAAATGAAACCACCAAAACACCTGGACACAGAAATTCAGCTACTATTACTTTCGCATGCATGAAGAAAATGAAGATGATGAATATAACAGAAAAGAACAGATCTTTTATGAACTTTAAACAATGCTGACACCACTTCTACACAGATAATATACAAATCTTCTTTCAATGTCTGATTAAATATGACTGCCTCCATGCACTGAACTGAATCACAGTTCACTGAAGTTCATCAGTAAAAAATTAAAATACATATAAATCTAATTTAAAGCATTCGAAGCACACAGAGCTACAATATACAAATACAAGAACAGCACTTGAGAAATATATTGAACTCTTGCAAAATCCTGTGTAAAATAGTTCAAAATCAACTTTAATGACATTTCATTGTCCAAGCCCAGAAGAAAACTGTTGTCTTCACTGCTTTAAGCACCTCACACCTCACAACTTTAATAATAATTTGTACTAATTCACATCATCAATATATTTGCAAGATAACCTCGCTTAATCCTTCAAAAAACATATGCATTGCAAATTCATAATGACATTCAGTTTTACTCACACATTTAATGTCAGTATGTTGTTCCCTCATGTTACGAGTGTACGAACTACCAAAACCCTTCGAACAGTTTGTGCCCAACAGATCCAATCAATTAAACCATAACGTTTCCTTGCTCACAAGCTTTACGTATTACTGTTAAATGTTTACATTACTGCTGTTCGAAAGTCATGTGAGGCGTCTGAACTCATTTTTGACGTCTCGTACGATATTTAGCGATTTACTGACAAACTTCGATATCATTACAATGTCAGTCACTACTGACAATGCCGTCAAGCAGGAAAGGTCAAAATATTCAATGGCTTATTATTAAACAGAAATGCGACAGGACCCTCAATAATATAAACGTGTAGATTACAAATTACATTTATTTTTCCAGTCCATTTAAACGAAAAACCACAAATTCAATAAAACATAAACTATAAAATACCATTGAAAACCATAAGCACAAATGTGCTCTACTGCTCTGGCATTGACAAGAGTAACAAAGAAAATAATTAGAATGCAGTTTAGAAAAGAAACAGTAATACATACGTTATTTTGTGTACACAATTCTGAAGAATCTCAATTATGAGCACTATTTCATGGTTTATACAAAGTAATCAACAAATTCTAGCCATTAATGAACGCAGCACAATTCACACTACTTCGAGAAACAAGACTAACTAAATCACTGGTTACATGGAGAGAAAAAAAATAGTGACGAATAACCACTGAAATAATAAACATGTTATGGAAAACTGTCTTGCACCCAGACTCGCCATCAGTTGGCAGTATACATAACTAATTATTAAAAACAAAGACATACAAAAATTTCTATACTTAACAAGCAGAAACAAATAGCTTCATTTTTATTATACACTCTTAAATATTTGCTTTATTAATGTTATTTATTTTACATTGTTCTCACCATAACAAATAAAGATATGAGCTAGAATTAGAGTTTATTTCCATTCCATAGGTTCTTCTTTGGGCTAAACCAAAGAAAGTTGAACATGTCATACCACAAGTTCAGAACTTATTTCGAGAATATATAAATATACATAAAGCCTACGAATTGTCAACAGAGATAAAATTGCCTACACAGTGGTATATTATTGATAAAAGTAGAATAGAATAGAATTCATGTACATTCCATAAAACTCATAAAACCTTCTTACGCCTAATCCAAGAATGTGTAACATGTCGTACCGATACTTTCTTCTAACACAAATATAAATTACATAGTTGTTACAGTGATTTACAATCTACTGCAGAAATAATTACTCAAGAAAGAATCACCACTATTGCTTACATGCACTTATAATAGATAAAATTTTTCAGTTAAAATAAATTCTTCTGTGAAATAGAAAGAATGAGACAGGATATACTATTTTATTGTTTGTTTCAACTTTTTTGTATCGTGATTTAGACTTTTGGTTGCAGAGAAATATTACTTCTGTTTTATGTTTACTCTTGTTAATGTTTGGCATATAAAAGTTGTTGTCTTTCACTTTGGCGTAGAAGTTCTGGAAACTGACAAAATATCTAAACTATGTGTCTGGGTGAGTTACATTTGTAAAACGTTTTAGATGTAATTCCGTTTGCTCTTTTCTTATTCGTATTGCAAACTTTACTGATACATCTTTCACAAATTTAGAGGAAAATTCTACTATGTCATTTAAAATTGGTAATTTGTGTGAATATTTTTGGACTTTATTAATGTCGTTCCCCTTGTTCTTAAAGACTGTCGAAGGAACACTATATTAATGTCCGGACATGTCAGATAATATTCTTGTAAGAGAAAGAAGTAGCTGTAACAGACGCGTCAGTAAATGTATTTAATACACAAATTTAGTTATAAAATGATATAGAAAGACAAGCATTTCTCGACAGACCAACTTCAGGCGCGCCAGAGCGTGAAAAACTTACCTAGGTAGGAAGGAGTACAATGCTTTTACTGTCATAGTGCAAATTGGACTTCAAAATTTGAACAAATTATTACATTTTAATTTATACAGGAAACATTAATTAGTTAATGTGACTTGGAGTAGCTAGTTACAAGACCACTATCAAGCTGTAATTCATAATTGTTATTTGAGTCAACAGAATCCCTTTCAGTGTCAGGTTTCCAGTTGGTGAGGCCATAATTCTAAATTTCAACAGAACTATCAGAACGTCTGTCAGTTTATACTAAATAGACTGAGAGACAAATAGAATGATGAATATACAAAGAGGCACGAATGTGGAAGTATACGCAGTTTGGAAGTTCTAAGAATAATTAACTAAGAGAGTTATTCGATTACATTGACCTTCAACTAGTAAAACATTGTGAGATTTCAGGTTCTCACGACGGCGAGTATGAAGTTGACTGTCTTCTCGAATGTTGAATCTTGTAGGATGATGAGTAGTAAGCTTCTGCTACACTGCATGGCGCAAGAGATGGTAAACTACTAATAGACTTCATCTTCAGGTTACACATTCCTTCAGCTTTCCTTTATTTCCTTGGTATCACAACGGCCATAACCTGCATGTTTGCCAATCGTAGGGAAATTTCATCCTTACGATTCATTTGTTTTCGATTAGTTTCTGATTATTGTGTATAGGAGATAGTATACTGTATGTCTCTGTGACGAAGAAACGTTTGGTTGATAATCTTTCATTAATCAGTGAGGATTTTATAAATTTCTCGTGTAGAATACTAGAATAAATGTCAGGATTTGATGGTTTGCTTATTTTCTACTGGTTTGATGTTGTATTACGATAGAAGAGTCTTATGTAGTATGCTACTAAGCAAGGCTCAGTAACTGGACAAGTGAGAAACCAAATCCCTGTGTTGTACTGAAATGCGAGTGTAGGTTGACCGCTCCCTCCATGATAACTTCATAAACGTATGGGCAGTGTTGGTTATAATGTCGAATGAGATCCGATCAAATTCTGCTCTTTTTAAGAGGGCTGAACAATTGAAACGGTGGGAAGAATCTGAAACTAATCGTGTAGCTGCAGTGCCTAACAGTAAGAGTCGAAAAATTCAGTTTTCTGCAGGATGTGTGTTTCTGGCAGCGTGTGCAGCAGGCGACAAGGAAGAAGTATTACGGCTGATCGCAATGGGAGCTGACATTGACACGGCAAACGTTGATGGATTGACAGCCCTTCATCAGGTAAAGAGAGCCGAGTGCTTGTCGATTAACTGCAAGTGTGTTTGCTATGTCTTGTAAGTTTTTATAATGGGCACTTGCTACATAATTTGACGGATTTGGAAGTGGGACGGACCATCAAGGTACAAGATGGCCGTCTTGTTTTCATCCAGCTGGTTTCTTAAAATTAAATAAATATGAAGGAAGTCGTGTGCTAGTTGTTCCGTGCAGAACTTCAAACCACAAAATAACGTATAGGTCACCTTGCTATAGATCTTTATCACATTTATGCTATTTGATGTATACATTGTTTATTAATATAATATTTTTAATGTTTTATGAGAAAGTGGATGTGGAACAGATATGAGTGAGCATAGATACCTGTGAGCTATGCATAGTTGCAGTTACCACATTTTCTCGTCTTTCTACTCTTGTACGTTTTATAGCGAAGTATGCAATAACATGCCAAGTTATATTCCTGTGCTAGGTGCATGAAATGAACCCATGATGTGTAGGTTGTCTTTCTCCAATCTTCTGTTGTCCCTCATATTTTACTTTCAAAACTTTTGAATTGATTTTTCCAGAGTAAATTTTAAAGGGTTCTGACAATGGTGTGGTGCTCACAGGATTACTAAGTTCTTGGACTTTGCCCATCATCTGGTATTCAGAAATGTTCTTTTGAATACCAGATGATTGGTTAAGTCCAACAATTTAGTAATTCCAGTTTTGACAAAGGCATTGGACAAGGGATCTGAACTGCAGGTTTAATTTGGGTTTATGTCTGTCCAATAAATTTTATTGAATTTTGCACAAATTACTGTAGAGTTACATATTTTATGTTTGCTCCCATCTGACACAATTATTAACTGTAAATACATTTTATTGTAGGGTTTTAAAGTCAATGCCATGTTTCCTTTTTGCTGCATTTTTAGATGATAGTTCTGAGTGTAAGGGGTGGCACTTATATGTAAAGCAGCGGACAAGATAATCATGTTTTTTTTATAAAATTCTTTGAAGTAAGGAAAATAAATGAGCCTTATGTTGTTATGGCACAACAGCCCACAGTTGGGCCTTGGCCTCCTCCCATGTGGGAGGTTTCTTTGTCTTTGATGTGTGCATTTTTGAGTAGTGCCCACTGCCTCTGCACAATTTCTACTCAGTCCTGATTTGCCTGCCAGAGCCATCTAGTAGTGAATCAGGGGAGACTTGGGTGAGAAATGGCTGCTGAATTTTGCTTACGAAACATCCCATTTCATGAAGATTTCTGTCTTCTGGGTTATTGCGCTGTGTAGTCTGGTCGATGTTTACCAACGTTTCAGAGGTCACAGCGCAACAATCCAGAAGACAGAAGTCTTCATACTCACCACTGTGAAAACCTCAAATCTTACATCCTATTTCATGCTCATAATGTTCTTTTACATGCCGTAAATCTAAGCCATGGGACCGCCGGCTTTACTTCCCCTCTGAAGGAAGTTGTGTTACGGATTTTTATCACCCTAAAAAATCCATCGACCTCGGCCAGATTTGAACCCGCGAACTTTGGGTCCAGTGGCAAGCATGCTAACCACTAAGTCCACCAAAGTTGAAATGAGCCTGTGGTAGTAAAAAATTATTTTGCAGGTCTGGTTACATGTGGTCTCAGGCTTTGTGTTCCACAGGCCACTAGTTGCACCATGCTGTGATTGATGAATTGTTGTAGTTAGTCATATGAATATGTATAACACTTACAAATTAAAAATTATGTTATGATGTGTTCTCATAGTACAAAAATTTCCACCACATTTTTGTTCAAAATATTCAGTTAAAATAAAGCATAAAGGGGAATCTGTCTTGTTGAAATCATTAATCAGGACATAAAAACTTCCATGAATTTCTTATCACATAGTTGTCTCAACACAATTTTATTGGGGTAATGTGCTTCACTCTACCTACAAAATGTGCATACTTGTTTTATAATGGTAGTACATTTATGTTAGAATGTTTAAGGTGAGTGACATACATTGGGTACATACTACAATACATTCCATTGATCCAAAAGTTTGGATGAATGACATTGTAATAAAAATACGAGGCATACAGATAAATTTGATTCAAAATTTAAATATTTTATCTAAACTGAAAGTTTTACACAAAGTATATGAATGATCTGCTAAATCCATGCATGGATACAGGAGATGAGCATGCTATGTATAGATAAAATATCTTCAGAAAGATTGAGTAATTTTTTAATATTAATAATTTATCAGGAGGAAAAGGAATGTGTATTTAAGTATCTTTTTAATGCTTCTTTAAATTGTGTACTTTTATTTATAATACTTTTGAGACTTGTTGGTGGTCTGTTAAATAGTTTCATGCCAGAATTTATTTATATATCTTTTTCACTCCTATGAAGCATAGGGGCCTCCTTTTGGAGGAAACTTGATCTATTTAGACATTTGGTAGGACTCCTTGGATGAGTGATCAGCCCATCGCAAGGCCTCTACCCGTACTCACGACAGCACTACACAGAAATACACAGACAAACATGCATGCCTTGAGTGGGATTCGAGTCCATGGTCCCAGTATCCCAGCACACGAGGCCCAAACCTCGGACTGTGACCGGCTTCATGCCAGAATAGTATTTACTTTTTCAAAACATGGAAGGTTTGCTGTTGGTGTATGAAGATGTCCCTGTTCCTTGTGTTAACATTATAGCCCAATTTGCATGTATATAATATTCATTATTTGCAGCAAAGTTTATTAAGGAGTGTGTGCATACATATGTATGTATGTGTGTATGTTTGTTTGTTTGTATAAGCAGTAAATATCTATGTAAGATTTGAGGTTTTCACAGCGGTGAATATGAAGATTTCTGTCTTCTGGGTTGTTGCGCTGTGTAGTCTGGTCGATGTTAACCAACGTTTCAGAGGTCATACTGCCTCCATCATCGCCCTGTAAAGTAAATATTCTACTGCTGGTTGAATTACCTGAAAAATATATTCCATTAATCATTACATAATTATACATAATCAGTTGACATGTATGTTGGTTATCATATTCACTCATATCACTTGTCAGTGTAATGTGTTTCAGTATAAAATGGTCGTACTGCCTTGAGAGGTACTTTGTCAGCAATGTTCATTGATGTAGTAAACTTTAGCCCTCATCTGTCATAACTGAGCGTTATAATATTCATGGGCAAGCTGAGGTCAGATTCAGAGTAATTTTATTGGCATTTCTGGGTAAAGAATATAGCCAACTTTCGGGAGACAGAATAGTTTGCCCAGCTTTTCTCAAAGTCTTCTGTTAAATATTGCAAGATCTGAGTTATTGCGTGTTTGTGGGAATGATAAATTCTGGGAAACTAAGAAGGAACTGCTCTCGTGTAATTACGAGTCAGAGTGGCCGCCACATGTTCATCGTCTCTGTACATTCTTTAGGAAGTTATCCTGGAAGCCTGGTTTTTTTAGAGGGCAGTATCAGCGATTGGCGCCACTATGAAATCAATCCTTCCCGCCCTTCCATCCGGAGACGTTAGCCATCGTGTGAGGATTTAAACTCAACATCTGGTTCGCTGACTAGCTGTTCATAAATAAATTCGTCGTCGTAATGACCGTGTGTTTAAATATAGCATTTGGGGTGGTCTCGCGTCTAAGACGTGTCTTCAGACCAATGATGTCGCTGACCTAGAAGTTAGAAAAGTGGATTCGTAGCTTCGACTTAGACGTTCGTTATCACAGAACCTGTCATAATTTTTTTTCTGGCTTGAACTTCTTTCGTACATCCCATATGTTGTTTTGTAGTTTTTTTAAAAAAAAATTACAGCACTTTGTTGTGAGTTGAACATTGCGACTGAAAGAGGGATTAATGGGATACCAGCAGCGGGTTACTGAAATGAGTGTGTGTACACTTAATTTAAGCTACGGTCAGCTTATATCGGGAAAGTAACCGTACTTTAAACCTGCCTCCATTACACATAACAGCAAGTAACACGCTGTAAGAAATTGCCACAATTGTCAGTCTTTGGGGGTTTAGTACGTTTGTTCGTTTTACCAATAAGTTTCAGTCCTGAGCGTTTTTTTTTTTTGGGGGGGGGATTTTAGTGACAACTGTTTCGGAGCATATCGCCAGTGATGAGCTGTTTCAGAAAATGCATCTTGTGCTACATCAGCATTAAGTTCTGCAGAAGAAGGAAGTGTGAAGTATTAACACATTCTCCAAAGACAGAGTTGGCTAAATCAACAGTGGGAAGAAACGAAAATTCTTAATCTTCATTTTTATTCTGTAATGTCTGTCGAAGTCCAAGCTCACGATGTTTGTTTATGCTGCGAAATTTTGACAAAGAACCGTAGTCGGACCAGAGCGGCGGCGCCGCCCCTCTCGCCCCATGTTTACTTGAGTGCCGGGGCGCCTCCCTGACTCTTCAAAGGCTGAGGTGCTCCGTATCCCGAAACCAAGTGGTATGAAGGCCTCTCCCCTACAAGCATTTCTAGGAACAGAAACATTATGTAGCCTAATGTAAGTCAGGAGTTCCAGGTTGTCTAATTTCCGACCTCTGAGATGGAATTGTCGTTCGTGCGTTTCATGATTTGTTTGTCGTTAAATTCTGCATTTAAAATCGTGAATGTGCCATTAAGCAGCAACGAGAACGGTCTTTCCTTTCAACCTGGAATTGTGTACTCCAGCATTTTTATTTTGAAGATAGTCCTGGATAAAGTATAGCATTAAATTTATCCATTGACCCAAAACATACGATACTTAAAAGTATCCATTTTCAGGTTAGCAGAGCAGAGTAAAAGGTGTGTATATATGTATTGCCATTGAGCCCACTCATCCATGCGTTTTTCCATCTTTGTCGATGCCAACGTGGTATTACAGACATCTGTTGCACGAGCGATATTTCCCAAATTAATGTATAGCCCGAAGTTTTGTATTGTCATCTTCGAATAGTGCCTTTGTTTTGTTTTCATAATGTAAACGAATACCTGGCCGTGAAAAATCTGTATTTCGTGTTCCGTTGTGTAGCAGTAACGAACTGTTGCATCTGCGCACGGTGAATTTGGTATGGAAATAGATGATCCACATTTTTAAATTGCTGTTGATGTGTGTAAGAAATTAGAAACACTGCAGTGCTGGTGCGATGGAAGGCACAGAAAATCGATACTAATTGAAATTATCCAAACGTAGGGAATTTCTGGTCATGTAGAAAATCGGCATGTTCCGTATAGGTGGTTCGAAGTGTATACATTTCCGATTGTGCTACTCCCGTTAACTCCTTTCTGTGGGAGTTGTACATATTGCTGATTCTCTTTGCTATGGCATCTTTTGTTTCTATACATTCCAGTTCTAGCCTTTTGTCAACGGGCTTCGAGTATGCCGTTTTTCAGTTGTTTGTTGGAATACTGCATGTATTGTACTTAATACAAACAAGGCAGATACTGTACCAACTCGAGGGAATTATGAGGTTAGAAAGATAATGTAACGAAGAAGGAACGTAACCTGACGAAGCAAACTGATAAGTAAATGCTGGAAGCCTCACCTCTACCTTATTTCTACCCACACACGTTACGGCTTCTACACCTTCACGTAAAACAAGCGACTGCGAGTTTGTGGAAAGGTCGATTTACGGCTAAAATCATCACAAATGCTCATTCCAGTCTACTCGGAAGCTGGAAACGATTTGTCCAAGAAGTGCCTTTCTGCTATAAATACAACAGGGTGTAGAAAGTTACATCCACATATACACGTACTTATAAGGCTGCGACTATTAATAATGTCTTAAGAAATAGTGAGGCGAGATTTGTGACCTTCACCAGGTTATAAAGTTTTGATTGTCAGAAGTATAACATTTCCACATGTCTGCGTCTGGGGATTATCAAAAGTACATTTCCACGTCGTCTTATACTCGTTCGATGAGTATGCTTGTGTTGTGTCACCATGGGATGAACATTATACGATTATGGCGTAATTGGTAAAGGAAAGTGTCGTAGAATGACTCTTGGTCGATTTTACAGAATACCTGTGATACTGTTTATTGTTAGTGACTGCAAAATTAAGGGAATGGGAAAAAGCGACGCAGAGACAAGTGTAATTTTAAGAAATATAAACAAGAAGTTACGAGCAGAACTCTCAGACGTAATTCCTGTAAGTTTCGTATTACTAATCCCATATTTAGGCATTGCAAATATAACATAAAGTAAGAACGTCGTATTATTTAAGTACAAAAGAACATTTTCACGCATCCGCCTTGTTGTTTTACATTTTATAAAACAACGTAAATTACGTGAATGCCGTTCACGTTATTATAAACGACTGTGTGAAATTGAAAACTGCGAAGTTCGGGCGGCTTGCAGTGGTATAACGTTCATATAAAATTTCGTGAAAATGGATCAGTTGGTTTAAAAGTTGAAGATCGGGACACAGACAGTATGGCGGTCTCACAAGCATCTTTCTTTTCTTAAGAAATAAAGGAAGTTGAAAGGCGAGTGATATAAAAATTAAACGTACCACTTTATGATGTCGGTATTTTTTCGCGGACCGTCGTGCACGATAATGTTATGGGGCCGTTGGGTTGGAGTAGGCGTTTCTTCGATACTGACGACGCAGGTAGGTGCGTATGTTGGTGAATGTACCGCACTTCTTGCAGAACAGTAGATGGTAGAGAAGTTCACAGAGTGGATGAACGAGGCCGGAAGACAGGCTCGGAAGGTACTGAAATGGAAGTGGGACATTCTGTATAGCGTACGGTATTGTACACGAATGTACTAGCAAAATGGCTAGGCGAGCGTTTAAATATTACCTTCTTTCATTTCGTGGAAACAGTGTACACTAAGAACCTTGTAACAGATAGGCACAACAGTGAGAAAGCCTCTTGCGGTTGCGAGCCATGTGTTGAGATCCCTCACCGGAAAGAAAATTCAGTACGTTGGTACTCTTGAAGGCAAATGGCACAAGTCAAGTGTGGATGCATGGAACCTTCAAGTTCCTTAAGTGGCCAGTGTTTCTTAACTATCAAAACGACTATCAGCTTCTCAAGAAGGATTTGTTTTGTTGAATTTGTGCTCTAGCACTTCGGATAAATTAGACGAGGTGGAATTTGGAAGAATTTGTAGTTTCCATAGTGTATGAGCATCAGAGAGAAGGGAACTTTGCTAGCAGTTGAGATAAATATGAAAAGTTTAGTTGTAATTTTGGTTCCTAGTCTTTCTCATCCACTCATGTATCAAATTGACTTCAGAATGATGAGAAACAAGTAGTTGTCAAACAGTTTAGTGCAGAACAAAGACACGAGTTAGGAAATGCACCTTAACCCCCCCCCCCAAATGTTTGTGTTTGTATTCAGTCAGGCTCTTGTAAAAACTATAATGAACCACCAGGTTCCATAAGGGCAGGGTATTTATTGTGTAAGATTTGAGGTTTTCACAGGGGTGAGTATGAAGATTTCCGTCTTCTGGGTTGTTGCGCTGTACCTCTGAAACGTTGGTTAACATCGACCAGACTACACAGCACAACAACCCAGAAGACGGAAATCTTCAGGGTATTTATTGTCTAGCAGAAAGACTATTAACTTCACAAGAAGGACTCTATTCCATGTTTGTCATTTAGTTAACAAGCTAGTTGGTTAATCAGCCAGTTAGAGACTTGTTGACTTGCTTTTGAAATGGGTTAGATTAATTATTGATATTTATATGGCATTAATTATCTCCTGCTTACCTTCATTATTCTATATTAAGTTTAAGTAAATCCATTTTCATTAGCCAAAGCATTGACCACAATATTGCATAACCTTTAGTTAGTCCTTTTCAACATGGCTTTTAAGTAACCATGATGTAATGTAATTTAAAGTGTTTCTGTATCATTGAATAACTTCTGAACTAACTTCTGTAAATATTTTTTACAAATGATTTCATGTGTAGTGAAATGTTTCTATGTTCATTTCATTTTTACACCAGGAAATCAAAAATCCTTAAGAAATTAAATGTAAACCTGTGCTTATTATATAGGGCCATTACAAAAGTTCAAGTTTAGAATAGGGTGAAACATTTTTCAGACACTAGGTGTGAACTTGTTTTCCAAGATTAAAACTGCAAAGTGTGCTGCTGTAAGTTCTTGGAGGAAAGCGTGGCTTTGAAGTTGGTTTTAAGTCACCGTAATATATGTGAATTGTTGAGACATTAAATACTTACAATGTTTGTATCTTAAGAGGTGACTTGGAAGATGTGTTTTACATAGTATAATGCATTTTATGAATGTCCTTTAATGTGACATATTTTTGTGTTGCAGGCATGCATTGATGATAATCTTGAAATGGTGGAGTTCTTAGTAGAAAATGGGGCAGATGTTAACAGGGGTGATAACGAAGGGTGGACACCCTTGCATGCTACCGCTTCATGTGGCTTCATCAGCATTGCAAAGTGAGTACTATTTCTGTGGGAAGCCTGGATAATTAATGCTTTGACATAACTATCACAGGTTTTGGTGCACTAAGCAAAAGAAAAACAAGTTCCCACTTTCATGTCCTAAATTTTGTTGCTTTATGGTAATTAAAAGTCAACAAATAAAAAGGTTTTCCCTTCATTGGAAAAAATATATCACACACTTTCAGTGTTTGTGTTAGATAGCCATTCTCATTTTAGTTCTGCAAGGATAACAGCTTAATGTCCTATTCAGTACAGTGAGCTGTGATGGAAGTTGGTTCAAAAATTTCATTGTATATTTATTTATTTGTGGCTTATTTAATGATAATTTCATTTGCTTGGACTGACGTATACCATTGAATGATATGATGGTTAATGAATATTGAATTGAAAAAGTTGCGGAAGGAAGCGGTTGTACCCTAATTTAAGGTAATATCCTTTCGGTTGCCTGAAGGGACTGGAAAAGACCATGAAAACCTCAGTGGGACCTATACTCCCATTAATCTGAATTATATGTTGCTGATTCTGTTAAAAATGAGCTGGGATAGCTGTCAGTATAGTGACTGACTACAAACTGGATGACCGGGGTTCAATCCCCTATGGGTAGAGGATTTTGCATTTTGCTCCTGCATTTAGACCAGCTTTGGGGCACACCCAGCCTCCTGCCCAGTAGGTACCTGGGTACTTTCCCAGAGGTAAAGTGCGGTCATGGCATGATGCTGACCACTGACCCCTATCTAGTGCATAGCAGGACAGCAAGTATGAAGTAACGTGTGTTAATTTAGAGAGGTATGTCAATAGAAGCAGGGAACCAGGGTAGCTCGGTCAGTGTAGTGACTGGCTATGGACTGGACAACCAGGGTTCGATCTCTGACGGGCAGAGGATTTTTCGTCTAGACTCTGCATCCAGACCAGCCACCTATCCAATGGGTACCAGGGTCCTTCCTTGGGGTAAAGTGCAGTCGGTGCGTGACACTAACCACTCACCCAGACCTAGTGCTGAGGTTAAGAATTAGTAGGAGCTATACTCTCCCCCCCTCAAGTGTCTACATGGAGTATAGTGGGACAGCTTTACTTAGCTTTATGTTGGTAGAAACTAGGGAGATTACTTTCTGATTCCAGTGGTGTTCTGCAGAACCCTTTTTCTAACATTGGATTTCACTACAGAAACCAATTTTAATTATTTCTCCAGGTTACAAATCCATAAACTTTTTATGCCCCATATCCCTTTTTTCTTTAGGTCCAGAAACATAGTTTTCCTTTTTGCAAGGTTTTTTTAGTTTTTTAATTAAAAATATCAGATACTGTTGTTAAGAACGGAATATCATACTGATAATTTGAAGTACATACTATGCTCCACAGTCACTAAGTAATTTTTTAATCAAAAGAGATATTATGGAAATGAATTTTAGTATACTGTTCTGAAAAGATAATCATGAAATAGCCACAGATACTGTTGATGGTGCTGGCAATGATTTAGTTATTTGAGAAACCTCAACATATTTTAAAATGGCTATTATTGACTCATGTAATTCTCTCACCATTTTCATATGCCTTTTAGAAATATCAAGGGAACTGAAAATATTAAATTATGACAACATTTTTGGTGTTGGCTTTTGGGGAGAGAAGATTTTGCAGCTTTTTTCCATATTTGATGTGGAGCTAGACATCAAGGTGATGAAATGTAATATAGAGTAAAGTCTTTATCCAGACTGTACAGGCATATGAATGGTGTGGGAGACTTGGATGGTGGCAACTGCAGAATTCATACCTGCAGTTCAAAACTTATGAATTTCTTATGTTCAATACACATACTCAAAAATATTTGATGTGTCAGGTTTGGTGTTTATTTTTGTAGGTTCTATCACAATCTATCATAGTTAGTAGATGGCTTCTGCAGTATGTTATTAGTAGATAACAGTTTAAATGGCATATAATAAATATGTCTCTCACTGTAGCATTGCAATTTCAAGGTGTTTTAAAAAATTGTGATTGCGTAAACTTACCTCTTTGGAAAAATTAACTCGCTTTTGAGGTTTGTTGATTAAATTAGAGCAATGTCTGGATGTTACCTGAGCAAATATTATCACATTTAATTTTCTTTACATAAAATACAAATTTTCAGGTACCTGATTGAACATGGTGCCAATGTTGCAGCTGTTAACAATGATGCTGAACTGCCCCTTGATATTGCTGAATCAGATGAGATGGAAGACATGCTTCAGCAGAATATTAATGCACAAGGTTAGATGTCTGGGTGTTGTGTTGCTATACAGTAAACTTAGAGTGCAGAAACTCCATCAGACTTTGAGAATAAATGGAAAAACTTGTTAATCTGCTTTGGTAAAATTTTATTTGAGGGTCCAAGTACCTGTGTTATAATTTTACCTTTTGTCTTATATGGGGCGATGCCTGAACTATTATCGTATAGAAAGGAAATCTTTGAACTGCAGAAAACTTGAACAACATGGCAGATCTGTTACATATTGCAGGTGTGGCATCTATGCAGTGTTGATTTAATTTAAAAAACAACCATGCAGAAAGTCCTGTGTGCGCTGGCAGAGCATAAATACACCACATTTCCATACATTTGATAAAGGTCTTGCTTCCTCAGGTAGTGCCACATATCTTAGCCACAAAAGCCTAATTGCTTGGTACCAGGAGTTATGCACAGTTGTTGGCATTTCATGAGTATCAATTCTGATTCTGATTATTGACTTGCTTAGTATATTCAACCAAGTAAGCATGAAACCCAATGTTTCAGAGTTTGACTTTAGGGAGGATTGCATATATTCTTGTATATTTTGTAAGTAGGTGCAACTTGTGGTGGCATGGACATGTTAAAAGGTATGTGATAACAGAACATGTTTGTCTTATCTTGCTAAAAGGATTAACGTGTCTGTTACTCAGGGATTGATTGTGATGAAGCTCGTAATGAAGAGGAAAGAATGATGTTGGAAGATGCAAAGGAATGGTTAAACAGTGGGGATATTGAAGACATGCCACATCCCAAGACTGGAGCCACAGCACTCCACGTAGCTGCTGCTAAAGGCTATATCAAAGTAATGAGGTAATTGTGACATATTAATTTTAGTTTCATTACTCCATGTCCTGCCATCTATTATTTTTTCTCTATTTGTCTCTTGTACATCCAGAAACTAATATCCATTATGTGTTGAGAAAGAAAAGATTCAGAAATTGTGCAGATCCAATGAATTGTGTATCGAATATGTTCTTTGATATGCTAATTTGCAGTTAACAATCATTTATTAAGAGAAAGAAGGGAGACTTCTTGATTCTTAGGATTCAAGTAATGTGAATTCCCAGATTTTAAACCATGCTAACCTACTCCTTTATTTTCTTGTGTATAAGGGTGTTCTATAATATGAGCATTATTTACTTTAAAAATGCTCTGCTGTGAAGGTGAAATGTTGAAACTCTGATGCTAGTGTTCCAGTATTCTGTAGATATGAATGTGTCAACATAAATAATTAAAAATATACAGGATTTATGTTGACAGTTAGTCGTACTATTCGTAGATTTCAGGCCAGATTAACCTTTCTAATTCCAGTCTCCGAAGACCCACCATATGTAGAAATTGCCATCGTATTTTTTGTTCTTGTTTTCATTTGATTTCATTTACATTCATTGAAATTTAATTGTTAATTAATAGTGCTGTATATTTCTGATTACTGCTTTCATAAATTTTTCACTTCACTACCAGAGCAAAGTTATAAGTATTTAAAGGGACAGACATGCAGACACAGGACATTGATCTGATCTCTTCTAGCACTTTATGCAGTTTTGTGCCATACATGTGATTGATCTTGGCGCTACCAGGATTAAAGAAAATTATGAGTAGTGACCACTGTGTTTAAAAACTGGTATGCATTTGAACACTGTTTTTGGCTCATGCTTGTAATTTCCATTTACCTGCTCATTTGTTGTTCAGAAATTTGAATATATAAAACATTTACTGAACTTGAACTATTATGAATAATGAGCAAATTATCTCTAGTGTGACAGTTACTTTTTATTACAATATTGGCCATTGTTATTGTTCCTTTCCGTCTCCAGTGTTCTCTTACAAGGCGGTGCAAATGTAAATTCACAAGATTTTGATGGTTGGACACCACTGCATGCTGCAGCACACTGGGGGCAAAAGGAAGCTTGCGAAATGCTCGTGGAAGAGTTCTGTGATATGGACATGAAGAACTATGTGGTAGGTAACTATCAGTTTATAAGCTTTACAGAAGTTGGAATGTCCTCTGTGCACAGTGAAAATTCAACAGTTGATAAAATATATAAATGCACAGGTAAGTTATACGCAACAATCAATGAAAATTGTAACTTATCATCTTTGTTGCTGTAAGTGCAATATAAATTGTACAAAAAAAATATGATGCTTTATTTTAGTATTTGTGTATTCTAAGATATGGAATGGCCTAGATCTAAGACTGTCCTATGTGGGTACTTATATAAAACACAATGTAACAACAATAGCATGAGTACAACATATAACAAAGACTTATTTACAGTGCTGTCTTTTGTTACCAGTTAAGCGTGTATAGGGTCTTTGCAATATCTTGGATGGAGTAAGTACATTGTGATAGTTTCCATAAAGGCCATTTTAAAAAACTATGCACCAAAGTTTTTTGGTCATGAAACGTTGTACAAATTGTGCATGAATTATGGTATGCTGTGTTTGCTTGTTTCAGTAAAAAAATATCTTGGCTAGAGATCAGTGTTAAGGTAAGAAACATAATTATGAGAAAGGAAGGAAATGTATTTATCATTTTATTATGACATGCACAAAAATAGAAAGTTAACAATTTTATTTATTTTATTTTGTACATGTCCAAAAACAGGTTGTATTGGAATAAATAACTAAATTTTGCATTTTCCCCCTATATGCAGGGTCAGACAGCGTATGATGTTGCAGACACAGATATGTTCAGACTGTTAGAGGAGTTGAAGAAAAAACAAGCAACTGCCCAAAAAGATCATGGAGACATTAACGCAATACTCCAAAAGAAGGGGGCCAGCACACCAAAGAGACGGTCAGTTTCTTTAATTATTAAATACTCGCACAGTATATGAGTAAACACGTGTACTGATAGTGAGATATTGCTGAAGTTTCAAATTAAGTCGGTAACACTACAGATTTTTAAATGAATGTTGTAATCATAGTTGGAAAGTAACAAATATGTGCTTTAACCCTCTCCACTTGAAATTCAGAAATGGAGGCACAGTTGCTTATGTAGGAGTTGAACTTCAGCTTGTTGCAGCCTGCTAAAGATATGCCACTGTTTTAGTACAGTTTATTTTGAACTCAGTTATATTGGATTGACCAAACTGTTATGTTATCAGGCTGTTTTCCTCCTTGCTCACACATCCATTGATCAAGGAGAGAATTGAGCTCCTAAGTAAACTGTAATAATATATGATTGAATTTCCTTGTTCTGAAAATGGTTTAGTAGCACAATATTAAAATATATGACATTAAAAATGTCTACAGAACTTTCATTTTCTTGCAGAAGAAAATTTATTTTCTTGGTGTGTGCATGTACGTGAATGTGAAATAGAAGACTCCAGTCAACTGAACTTTAAGTAGAAATAATAAGCGCTGGGCTTCTGCTTCTTTTCAGGTCTCATGTAACAATGTTTTCAGACATGAAAAAACTGTTGTTTTACTTTGTTAACTGCATGGTGATTTTCTAAAAGTAGCTGATCAGTTAGTCATAAGAAAAAATGCCTTGACATTAACATGCATTTCCAGAGGAAACAGACCTGAAACTATCTGTAATCAATACCAGATTTTTGCTCCATTATTTGAAAGCAGTAAGTTTTGCTACATTGTAGTTTTCTAAGGCTGTATTTTTAACAGTCTTGTTTAGTCTCAAAAGAAGCATTTTATTTATTACATCAAAGATCCAAGCAGTAAGACAGTTTTTGAAGACTTCTCATTGGGTGGCGTTGTCCAATTTTACTTAAGTAAAAACATATAATTTTGTATAATTTTAGCCTGCTATACAGATTTGTTTTATTTATTTATTTATACTTATGAATTTGAAAGTATGTGGAAGGAAGCAGCCTTAACCTTAGCATCATGTACTTGCTGGACTAAGGAAAATTAATAAAATCTCTGAGGATAGATGGTCTCTGGGCCAGTATTTGAATTGACCTCCCAAATATGAAATAGGAATTTTAGTCACTCAACAGCAACATTCGTATATATAAATTTTACATTTTCCTTGACATAGAAAAATCAGAATATTTTTTAGTGACATGTACTTTATGATGGATGGTTCACAAAACTGCTGAATTCTGTATTTGATTTTATCACTGATCTTAAAATTTATTGCACATGCAATATTCTGCTTTTTTGGAGATCATTAAAATAAGAAAACACTAAAGATTTTCTGTGCTTACTTCACACAGTTGAAGAAACTGAATGAGTGATGAACATGCTTGTTCGTGGTCAATAACAGTCATTGCCACATCTCTGCTCAGTATAAGTCATTTAGATATGAATTCAGCAGTCTCTCTACTTTCTGATCATGTATCATGAGTATCAAATCTAAAAGTTCTTGACGATGGTGATGAGTCATTTGAAAAAAATTTTTTTTGGATATTATCCATCGTCTAGTAAATAAAACGTAAAATGACATTTCGGAGATGGGGCTCTATCTCCGTCTTCAGGTGCCTACTCAGTTGGGCCTATCTCCGGAGATAGGGATTATCTCTATCTAGTGGGCCCAACTGAGTAGGCACCTGAAGACAGAGATAGAGCCCCATCTCCGAAACGTCGTTTTACGTTTTATTTACTAGACGATAATATCCAAGATTTTTTTTTTTTTCAACTGTATCATAAGGTTTATAGTAGCACTTTTTGATACAGAATTAAGCCACCTATATTGTCATTTATGATTCATTCTTGTGTTTCAAAATGGCTGGTATTTTTTAACCCTAATTTAACTTTAAGTTTGTTATTTTAAATTTTCTGAAGTCCCATTTTGCTGCATTTTTATTTTAGTTGAATGTGCTGATGTCAAATTTGGCATGAAATGAGAATGGAAATAATATTACTTTTTGTTAATTTATTGTCTTGTGGTCCTTTCAAATGCCATTGTATTTGTTTGATTTCAATTGTTGTTTCTCTTTCCTTTAAATGTTTGCACGTTTTATGTATTAATTGTGACAGGTACTATGGTTTGTAGGTCATCAATAATCAGAATGTCTGTGACTGACAAGTCAAACCTAATCAATAAGGATACTTCATCTGAGCGCCAGCTTCTTGATCGAAGTATAACAGAAGAGAGTAGCAACAAAGTGAAGAAAGTAGAACTGGAAATTGAAACTGAGTCAGAGAAAGAAGATGCCAGTATACCATCTCCAGAAAATGAAGTTGGTAAGAGGAAGGATGTTCTGATATATTTTCTGATGAATTTAATTACCTGTAATCTGTTTGGTTCTTTGTGGAATATCTAAAAGGCATATTGAGTCCCTCATTTAAATATGTATTATAAGAACTGATATATAACCACATAAATATCTTGTGTTCTAATGATTGTTACTACATCATGAATTTGTTGTTATGGGTTGACAATTTTTTCTAAAAATTAAATGTTCTGCAATTTTCTGTTCTAAAAGTTATCACTCTATCTTTTTTTAACTTGCTTTCTGTCATTGTCACAGTGCACACAATTAAGGTTTATGGTACACTGTTTCCTGAGTACTGCTGTTTCTACATCTGCCCTGCACTACTGCCTTACACTTATACTCATAAGATACTGTATTTTTCCTAACTTTAAACCAGTTATCCTCAAGTAAGTGTCTGAAGTATTTTTCTAGCTATTATCCAAAATATGTATATCAATATTTTTATTCTGATACAATTTTCTCATCAGATCTCAAAACATAATCCTTCCCCTTCTACATTTTTGGACTTTGGCTGTTTTTTTATTTTTTAAGATGTGTTTGTGCTCATTATAGGAATAATTTTTTAACACAGTACATTGGACCAGGTATAAGAACATGACACTCACTTCCTTCTAAGTTTTGACCAAGTCTGTGTACTGTTTTCTTTTCTTTTGAACTTGTAGATAAATTAAGTACATGCATAATTTGTATCATAAAATAGTTGCAAGAAACTTAATGGTTATTTCATATTGGACCAAGCAGATTTCTTGAGCAGTAACTGTTGTGTGTTTTGGCTTCCTGTTCTTCATTGGGTGTGAAAAAGTAACTGAGCTTAGTTTTATTTTGAGTTTGAAGGTACAGCTTCTAATGCCTGCTGTAATGGCCAGTTTTGATGTGGCTGCCAATGAATACATGCTTCCTTATATGATCCATATATTTAAATTTTCAAGAAGGGGCTGAATTGTAGTGTAAATAGTAATTTTAACTTCTTAGCAAGAAACTAGATTACGCCATTTGTGCTTCATGTGTATGAAGTATAAAATATTCTCTTTGTATTACATTACTTACTAAGAGAATATTACCATTGTTGTATGATGTTTTGTGGAAGTAAGCTTTACAGTCATTTAAAATCCAATAATGTAATGTTTGAAATTAATACATGAACATATGAACCCTTTCTAGACCAGTACCTCAACACAGCAAACATTTTTAAAGTCTACATGTAATGAAAATTATACTAAATTCAACTGGACATGACATGTTATACCAAATTATGTGTTTGCAGTTATGTGCTACGTATAAGGACTGGAAATTCTTTACAAGTTGAAGTAGTGATTACAGCTATACAAGAATTCTATGTGTTTTCATCTTGACTTATTCATTAGTTCATTAACAATTTTGCCTTTGTGTAATGTGAAGTTCATTTTATGTGGGCTGTACAGTTTTAATCTGTATTATGTGGATGCAATGGTACATCATAAAAGGTGAGAAAATAGGTGATTTCTTTTGTTTCACTTAATCCAGTTTTGTTAATGCACACCATTTGCTAATTGAATTCTGTATAAGAAACACATCTTATGAATCCATAGCTAAGGAAAGAACAAACATTAAAGCCTCCTAAGTCACACTGTTACATTGTGAGTTTTTAGGGAGGAGGGTATGAATTGAGGTACAGGAAAAGTCACACCTGTACCTAAGAATCATGACATAAAGAAGGTTTGTGTAAATGTGAAGGAAAAGATTGTTAGATTGTAGACCTTGGCACTAGATGGAAGTGAGTTGCTAGATTCACATTCCATCTTCTTCACTCTTGCATGGACATTACAAGTAAATGGATTCTTCCCCCCCCCCCAATTATCTCTTCAAGGAAATTTTCTAGGGATGAGCATCAATAATGTGTATTTATTTATTTATATTAACACATTCACTGCTGTGCAGATTTAAATGGGATCCTGTCCTATGTGCCAAGTACTCTAATAGCTGCGAATGTGTTATAAATTTAAAACTGTTCCTTTAATTCAGCAAATATGTTGCTAGATTAATAAATATGATTCACATAAGGTCACACATACTGTAGTAAATTTAGAGGTAATAAATATATATTGCTCTGCTTCTTGTCACATTATGCTTGTTCAAGTACGTGAATTTTCAGATTCTTTTAACTTCACCAATGACAGCATTGGAGTAAGTATTAATTTGGTGAAAAAGTGTTGTGTCATGTTACATGAGTGTATTTCATACGTGATTCATGTAGGTGGAGAGGAAGTTAACATGTGAGAAGGCATAATCACTATAGTTCCAAGAAAGATGGTATTATAACTGTAATTGCCTCCGTGGCTAACATGAAATTCTATTTTTATTCATATGGGAATGAGGATTTCATATAGTTCTCTTGCTTGCATGCCGCTGTAGAAAATCAAGAAACTGCAAGTGACTCGAGCGAATCCACAGATGATTCTGAAACCTCTAGTGATAGTGATACTGTTAGTAGTGGTAATGAGGAGGGTAAGTATAAATAGAAATGCATAATTTTCCTGTATTAATGGCATGACCTTGTCTGCAGTTTGAGTGTTTACTAATAATATTGTAGAAATTTATATTACATGTATACGTACACAGACCTGTTAAGGCTGTCATAGAATTCAATTTAGCTGTTACCAGTGCTTAATTTGTTCTAAAATAAGATGAATGTATAACATTTGTTGGAAGGAGTGCAGACTCTTTTGACTTATGAGAACCTTTCAGTATTTTCTGAGGCTGATCAGTAATGCACACAATGTAAGTTACCCGCTACTGACTTTGCCCCTTTCAAAAGTCTTTTGATTCATAGCCTGGTTCCAGCAATCATGCTCCTTCTGTAACTGTTCTAGAATTCTTTCAGATTGAATCTCAGTTCTCTCATTTTTAATGACATTTTCTTTAATATTGAATCTTTCTTTCTTTACGTTCAACTTTCATTTTGGGATAGAGAAAGAAAGTGCTAGGGGTAAGATTGGGGTATATGGAAGATGTAGTGCCATAGACTGTTGCATTCAGCCAGTGTAGCTACTTAATGGGATGTGTGTCAGAGACAGGTGCCATATTCTCATGTTTGTTCTTGGTACCTCCTAAACATATATTTTTATAATCCCCCAGTAGAAAGCCTTTTTCATTTCTTAATGAATACACAGAACTAGGTCTTCATGACTGAATCCAAGTTCCATCACCACTTGTAATGCTAGAAACAAAATTGGGTCCTGTGTGAAGTAAGATTAGACATTAAGTGACAGTCATCTCATAATAACTTTGGATTAAACTTAGCCAACACTACGTATACCCATATCGTCAGAGATAATGACTGGTGTGAACCATGTGATGTACTGACTTTGTTGGTAAGCTCATGAATTATCACATGGTATGATGGCATGAACAAGATCTCATATGCAAGTGATTATTGCATTATTCTTGAACGTGGTTGTTGGCCACCTCATTCATCTGATGTTTGGCTTGCATTAAATTTTGAAAAGTAATGAAATTCTTTTGCACAGCTTAGCCATTTGTCCCCATATTCTCTTTGCAGCACTGTTTTCCAAAGCCATTTTCCAAACTTTTAACACAAAACTTAACACACGATTATTAATATTAGCCATTTAAAACTGTGATCCAATGCTTAAATACACCATTACACGAAGTTGTATAATGGATAATTACATGTGGTTTTTACAATGGTTATTGTAAGGTCAATATGTTCTTGAAACGAGATGCTAGGAAGTGTTGCTGGAGAAGCTGTAAAGTTTGTCAGAAGGTGTGCGCTGTTGTCCCTGCAATGGAAAGTTTCTGACAGAAAGCACTGTAGGTCATGAGGAAAGAGCATGATGATTTGGGCTTAGTATCTGATCTGTCATATAAGTACTGTCTTCATCCTGAATGAAATAAAGGTTACTGATGCTATGGGCTGAAAAGGTGCATCACACAGTAATGTTTTCATTGTCATGAGTTTGCTCAGTAAACTCCGCTGATTGTTCCAAACCCAAAAACCGTTTTTGCTTGTTCATGTGTCCAGGCAGCATTACATGACATTCAGCTGAATACCAGATAGTGCATACATTGTTTTCATTTTAACAGGCATTTGGTAGGAATTCATGTTATCTTCTGAATCTTTCATCTTTTCTCCTGTGAAACAATGTAAAGATTAAAACTTGGAGTTTTACAATTAGGGAAGAACATAGATTGAGGATGTTTGAGAACAGGATGCGGAACAGAATATATATTTAGACCTGAGAGGGAGTAGGTGCATGTAGTTTGACGTAAAGAACTTCATAACCTGCTATTGACTGGGGTTTTACAGTACTTTAACACATTCCCTCCCATATGAAAGTTTGGTTGTTAACTGGTGCTTTATCCAGACTGCCATATATGACCAGTGTCAGATAGCAATATGCCATGAGAAGAAAAAAGTGTTTCAGAGCCTGTAGTGTTCTCTCTTTCTCTGTGTTGGTAGATGGTACTTGCATGTACCTTTTGTGATTCCTTGTACATGTAGATTGCCATTTATTTCAGTACTGTAATGTACCACTAGTGGCTGGTCTGAGAGGTAAGCCAGCATCAAAATTCCTAGAGCAAATGTGTTAAATTCAACCATAATCATGTTAGCTTTTGGAATGTTGGGACAAATTTTTTATTTCATGTAAATTACAATGTGTAGGGACATAACTAGAAAAAACTTGTCCTGGCATTTACTGCATATCCAAGCATGTTTACTGCTCATTCCTTCATTTATTCATGGGTTCACTGCTGTTTCCATCATTTGTTTGTGGTCATCATTTAAACTGTGTCTTTGTTGCTGGTATATGTCATTCAATAAATGATTTGGAGTACAGAATGATGTGTGGGCATTACATTTTGCAGTATTGGAACACAAGTAACCAGAATTTGTCATTTGATGCATATGACATTTTGAGATGGAACAGTGAGCTGAGCACACTTTTGAGTGGACTCATAATTTTTAAAAGAGATGAATGTCTGTCGGAAGTTACGAGCTTCCCAGATACTTCTCCATCAGTAGATATTATTCGTATATAAAATGGGATGTAGTTGTAGAGTAAATTATAGTTACATGAATAATAATAATGTATTTATATATATTTCTAACCTTTTGCATCATTTGTGCACAGATCTTTGCATTTTTCAATTTGTTTACAGAGAAGAAGAACAGGGCAAATAGGGATGAACCTTCCAGAATACCCATTGTCCCAGATGCCAGCAAAACAGTTCCTAATGCAGTAAGTAATTTTAGCTGTAGATGTGTCTATAGAACACTTGGAATAAGTAAATTGCTGTTTCAGAATAGTCTCTAAGGATGTTTTTTCAATGCATACATGATTGGAGAGGTATGATTCGTACTGGAATACACAGTATTTTCACATACATTTTTTGCAATTCTACATTCTGAATGCTCTTATCTGAGAGATATTGCATATATTAAACAAGTGTTATAAAAAGTACTGTCTATGTGAACATAGTATAGGTGCCACTGGCAGACTCTTCTGAACATGGTACCCATAATTTTTTAAGAAATCTTCATTTATCTGCCCATTACATTAAGACATTGTTTTTCTTTTGTCTCCTCATTTTTAAGTATTTTTCCATTTTAACTGTCTAAGTAGCATCTTTTTTAATATTAAGATTTGCTTGGGATATGGGATGTTATTCATTCTAATGCCTTATTTCACTGTTACATTTTGCAGACTCCTAACTCACCACCAAAAACACAAAGTGAGAATGATGACACAACCCTTCCAGCTTGGAAGCATGGTGGTTCATTCAGAAGTCGAGGCACTGATGGACGACTAGAACAGCCTCCAAATAAATCATTGTACTTGCGTAAGTTCTGATTTTTATTTGAGATTCTCACATTAATGAATATGTCAATTTGATATGTTGCAGTTTTTTTAGTTGTCTTGTGGATTATTTATCGGTATTTTGGATGAATGATCGTATCACCTTCATCTTAAGGGTTGAATCCTGAATGTGTAGACGATCACATTTCTTTGAAACTGTTAAGATGAAAATTGCCTGCATGCATAATTGATTAGGTCATTTAAGGATTTTAGGAAGTGCTGGAATATTTGCTTTCTTTGAGATTTCTTTAAATTGTGTTGGAAAACATAGTGTCCTGTGCACTGTACCTAGGTTGAAATACATATTTAATGCTGCAGTGTAAAGTTTTTATAATATTATTTTTGTATTAGGAATTGGTGAGAAAGATAATTCATCCCATAAAGCCACAACACCAGTAGGAGCAGACAGCCGAAATATTGTGGACACTCCGGAAGTTGTGTTGAGGAGGACACAGAGTTTCGAAGCCGATGAGAAGTAAGTCAGTTTCTGCTTTTACATGTAACTCTCTGATTTTGCGTTGCTTCATCAGCACACTAACACCATATTTTGTGTTTGTTGCTTCAGAATGTCGTTTTGGCTTGAAACACTGAACTTTTTTACAGAAATATTGAAGGGCACAGTAGTAAAGTATTGTGACAAGGCTGCCAGTAAATTAAATTTCTTTGGAATTATGTAGGATTCCTTCCATATCACCTTGAGACACTAGTAACTTCAACATAAAATCTATATGAATTGAAATTTTAATACAGTTTTTGCTATGGAGTCAATAATATGGTTCTGCCTTTGTGTACTGCTGGCAGACTCTTCCGAACATGGTAATTAACTATTAGGTTTCATTTAAAGTAGGGTATCTTTTGAGCACCTAAGTGATTGTCAGATTCTCAGGAAGGGCTCTGCTAATGGAGTTTGGTAAGAATTACCTTATACCTGTATGTGAACACAATTAAACTTGGTGAAATAAGTTTTTTCTTAAAGAATTTTAGCTTATCAAAATTATATTGTAATAGAGTGGTTAAGGAATGAAGGGAAACTACCAACTTTACAACATATTAACTAGGCATATTTGTTTTGATTCATCCTGATTATGAACAAAAGTTAAGGCATACTCCAGATTTTACCATTGACAGTTAAAGATATTTTATAGTCCCCCCCTCCCAAGAAATATAAATGGGAAGTGAACAAAATCAAATCAGTTAAGTTGTAAAAACTTAAAATAAAAAACAATGTTTATTACTGAGTTTTTCTTGAATTATCTATCTGTTTTTGGCACATTATTTCTATAGTTCTTTTTAATCAGGGAGGGTTTGTGCCATAATTTCTTTAAATGTAAACCTTATGTTACTGCATGCCAGTTTTCTGCATCCTGGTTTTTCCCCTTGTTTTGTTTTGTTTTCATGCATGCAGGTTCTATCGCAGATACATGGAGTTGCAAGCAAGAATAAAAGCTGGCTCTTGCCCTACCTTACACTCGTCCCCCGTCTCAGCCCTTCCAACCCGCTCCGCATCTCTCCGAGAGAAACACCTGCCAAGGTAGGCCTCCACCATGCGCAAAAACCCTTTTTGCAGTGCTTCTTGCTCCATGTTGCCTTCTTTGTTTTCCAAATGTAAAGTTTGTATGTGAGTTGTGATTCTGTTTTAAATGTTGCTTAAAAATTGCACACTTCTATTGTTCAAATAATCTGAATACAAATGTGGTTGATAATTGCAGATTGTAATCTTCTGGGTTATGATGCCAGTGGTCTTGTAGGTGGTTAGCAACATCCTGAATGTCCTCAACCTGGATGATAGAGGGGATAATTTCCTCCAGTACATTGGTAGCTACTACATACATACATGAGAGCATAGTGTCACAACCCAGCAGAGCACAATCTGCATTTTCACCACCCAGTCTGAATGTGTTAAAACTTTATGTACATTTTTTGTTGTTTATGAGACTTTTTAAATTATTGAAATTATTTATTTGCAGTTATGATGAAATTATTAAAGTACAGATCTCATGCCTAATAGAGGACTTCGAGTTTTCTAAATTGGACATATTAAAAAAATATAACATTTAGTCCTTATTCTAATACAGTTATCCAACAGACAAAAGGCTCACAGTCAGTGTTAATAGTAAACAGTGGTTTATCAACTCTTAATATAATTAATATCTTGTCATCTTAAACCATAATAGTCTACCATCTATTTAGTTTTTTATTTAATTTACAAAATAATTAAATTAAACTGACTCAAATTTATTTGGTCTTTGACTGTCTGTAACTTGCCCGATTTTGCCTGGCTCAACCCCATATACTGCACAAAGGTCAGGCAACACCGGTAAACAGAAAAGTAGCTCACATCAAAAGGAAATACATACAACAAAATCACTAACAGCAGTTCAGTACATTCATGCCTTAGACATACAAGGAGGTCAAACAGAGCAAAACAAAAGTTTACCTTAGTAAGACAACATACACATCTAGAGTGAGTTGATACTTGGAACAAACCTTGAAGCTGGTACTTCCATTTGCTTAAAATTTTGATTACCTTGCAGAATTCTGTATACAGATTTTATCCACGCCAGTATCTGAGTATGTGAGGCTACTGGTCCTTGCCCAAGTTTCATTGCAGATCATTTAAGGAAATACGAATGTAGCATTTATTACTGTGTTGATGTGCCTTGAATTTGTGAAGCTTAATTTTTGTTTATATAACAGACTGCATATTAACAGATTTTCCATAGTTTAATTTTGGAAGAGAAATAACTGTATATATGAAATATATGTTTAATAGCATGACTTGATTATTCAGCCATTGTATGTTTTAAAATGAATAGGCGTGGATCCAAGGATGAGGTGAAATTTTCATCTCACTGTTCACAAGAGGTGCCGACCACAACAGCAACAACAACAATAACTACAGTGACAGCTACAACTGCTGGCACTGTCACAACTACAGTAACAAGTTCACCAGCAAAAACAACTGCCACTTCACCTACTGCCACCAGTCCAGTGCCAACAAGTCTGATCAGAAGGTAAGTTTGACATCTTTGGTAACTTTGAACTAAAAGTCTATGTCCTTACTTTTATTATATGATGTATGACTATCATACTTTTGACAGTAGTAGAAGTTATGAAGACTGCGCTACATTCGTCTCTGAGATAAGTACTTCACTAATTTCAGTCCTGCCATGGGCAGTGTTTCAAGTGCTAGTCCTTCAACACCAAGCACACCAACAACCCCAGGGGGGAGTAAGCTTAGCCCAGGAAACATCTTTAAGAATTTCTTCAAGTGCGTAGACTAGTTACCAATTTGCAGTGTGTTTCATGCTTTTGCTTTGTTTTTCTCTGTTTACGTTTGCGCTGTGTGTGTGTGTGTGTATTTGTTTTTCCGTTATAAATCCATACTGTTGATTAGCACACACTTCATTGTAATGAACAGAACTGAAGCATGTAACAGGATGTTAACCCCAAACTTGCCAGTACAAAGAAAGTGTTGGATATTTCTCTCCACTTTTTTTAATCATTCCCTGTTCAGATTATCCACTGGCATTCATATCTAGGAGTGTGGTGGTGGTCTCATGAAAATACACACTAATTTAATAAATGCTTATATTAAATGTGTGATTTAAGCCTTTCTTTATATTATAGTGTTTATTTGAACTTTGTCATGATGGCATACAACATGTTTGCTAAATAATATTTTAGAGCAGTATGTGATACTGCTGCATGTTGAAAGGTCTGTATATTTTATGAACAGATGTCATACCAAGTTTTCTTACCTGTTTTTTTGGTAGGTGTGGTTTTGTTTGGAATTATTAAAAAAGTTTATTGCTATGATTTTGTGACTGTTGGAAACTAATTTCTTTCTTGAAAATTGGACTGTATGAAATAGAGTTTTTAGGCCACTGAACTTATATTCTTGAGATCCTGTTGAACTTGCTAAGGTGTGCATACATGGACAGACAAGACTTTTTAAGAGATAGAATCGGGCATGTTTTGGTATGTAATATAATTTGTTTTGTTTCAGTGCTGTCACCACTACTAACCTTTTAATTTGTATATGCATAGTGTTTGTGCTAATGATAATCACAGTTGGGAAGCAGAGAATGTTTTTATTCTTTACGTGCTTCAGTGTTCACAGTTTTAATAGTAGACACAAAGGAGAAAACAAGCAGATTGGAATTATGCAGTCACATGTTTTACTTATTTATCTCTTCACACACATGGAACATGTGTGTGTGTGTGTGTGTGTGTGTGCGCACGCGTGTGTGTGTGTCCTATTTTAAGCATTATTTATTATGTATTTATAATCTTGAGTGAGGAAATGTTTGCCACCTTCTTCCCCCTATGATTCTGTTGTCTGTAAACTTGTCTTGGGGGCAAGAATGTAGGTTGCAGTAAAATCAAAGCACTTTTGCTTGGTATGTGGCTGGTTTTCATATTCTCAACTGTAAGTATAGAGTTTATGCTTTATAAAAGTGTTTCACTTCTCTTCTTGGAGTGACAGCTTATAAGTCTTTGCCTGCCAAAATGTTTCATGCTGACACCTGAAGGCATGGTATTATTTTCTGCTACCTGGAGAGCCATGTTGGACTGCAAAATTCTGCATTTGTTTGGTTGTACAGTTTTACCAAAGTATAGTCCATATCGAATTCTCACAATTTGCATATTTTCTTGTAGGAAATGTAGTATTTCTGGTGTCATTTTGCAGTGTTATAGGAAAGACATAAAACATTTACTGGGTGCAAGTTTTACCAGAAAAGCATCCTGTGGACATAAAATATTCTATAAATTGATTCATACATGCTGACCAAATTCACTATGGGCAACTATTTAATTTTGCCTTTTAGAATGTTGAAATTGTTGACATTGTGATACCATATTTGTTTACATTAGAATTCTTAATCCATATTTGCACATCGTGATGTATTGATGTGTCCAGTTTTCCTTTTGAATTTAGAATTTATTTATAGTTTTTGTACTGTACTGCATTATAATGCACTATTAAATTTTAAAGGACTAGTGATTTCTGCTTATCAAATTAGGTGTAAATAATGAATAAAAACCATAGTGTCTATGTTGCATCCAGTATGATATCATTGGTTTCAATAACTTAAATTCAAATTGGTTTTTCATTATTTACATTGTTATTAGTAATGCATTTCTTATATTTGATTATGTTGGACTTTTTCAGAACTAGCCAGACACACTTTATTGCCATTTTGTTCTGTTAGGTGCCCAGGGATAAGAAATTAACCTTATGTTCTGCTGCTTTATGCATGTGCACATTATTCTGTTCATCTGCACATAAAGTCCTCAGGGGTGTTTACTATATGTATTAAAGTTGTGTGTGAAGAGTTAGTTGTGTTCAGTTTTTATTATTATTTTTTTAATAGGCTGTATCAAAATTTTGAAATCAGTAAAAGCTAGCCAGAAAAATGCATGAAGGAAGCCAGATTTGTTTCTTAAATATGTGTTAATACAGCATTAATTTTATCAGCATTTCAATTCTTATTTTCATTTTGTATGCATGATTTTATACAGTTCCTTCTTAACACTGCCTGTATTATACTACATGTTGCAGTTTTCATCACAACTTTTGTGTGAAGTACCAAACATTTTCTGTTTTGCACTCATGTCAAAAGTGAATGAAGATTTCAAATCCTGTGGTCTTCAGTGAGGGAGAACACTAACCAACAGTAGTGAGACTGGACAGCAGGTGACAAAATTGACAAATTAGACCATAAATTACTGTGACATGTTTCAGGTCATTTGTGCCACCAGTACGAGATGAAGAATCAGAAACACAGAGGAAAGCTCATGCAAAACGGGTAAGAGAGACACGAAGGTCTACTCAGGGAGTCACTTTGGAAGAAATCAAAGTTGCTGAGCAACTGGTTAAAAAGAAGAACCAGCAACAGTTGCACCAAGCAACACAACAACTGAGCAACAATGAGCAGGTACAGTTTAACTCGTCATGTCTGTTCTGTGTTTCAGTTGTGAATGCTTTATTTATTGAAACTTTTTGTATCATCATACCATTTTAATCAAGAAATGTTGTTTTGAGAAATGGTACAAAGAGGTCAAAACTTGAAAATACATTTAAAAAACAATGTATGTGTTTTCTTGCAGTTGCATAATTCAGTATTAACAGTATAGGATGTTAATGTAAAATTTTATCATATTTGTATGACTTGTAAATACAGTGAAACCTCTATCCATCGTTCCTCGAACTATCGTTTTATCGCATCAATCGTTCAAAAATCTTAGTCCTGGCCCACAATTTTCCCGCAATGATCTTTTCTGAGAAATTATAACGAAATTTACGCGATGTTTTTAGAATTTAAAATGCTGGGTTTTGAGATAAATTAATACCGAAAGATGCACAATGTTTTTGGAATACGCAGTAGCGGTTACCTGTTATGTCGCCCAACCAGCATGGATTCTTTTGGAATGAGGGGTCAGCGGTGCAGGGGTGATAGTTGGAGTGAATGGCGGTGCTCATTGTCAGAAATTTTATGAGTTTAATTAGGGTGCACTCATATTTCGTTCCAGCAATGCCAGATGGCATGTGCAGTGTGAATTTCTTCACAAATGTTTTTATTATAAGTATAAAGGAAAGGCAGGCGACACTTTTCATTCTTCTGGTTCATCTCGTTTCCAGTGGTTCAGTGTCTTTTACAGCTACGTTTCATTGAGTTTGGCAGTAACAGTATTTCCATTCTTCCTGTTATTGTTTGCGAAGGGAGTGGGAGTGGTGAGGAAGAGGAAGACGACGAATGCGAGTCTGAAGCTGTGCCGAGTTTTGCCGAAGCACATGCTGCATTGGCAAAAGTGAAGTCGTTCTTTTATGCGCATAATATTAGTGAACGTGATGAGGAAAACATTTTGAACATGGAAAGGGCTCTGTTTGGCCTAAAACGTAAAGTTTCGACAAACCAGTTGTCCATTAAAGACTTTTTTGGTAAAAAGAAGTAACTTTGAAAGAGAAATATTCACTTTTTTTAAAAATTTTAATGCTTTCTCGCAACTATCGTTTTCCCGTATTCATCGTTTTTATTTCCCACCCCCGCCAAAAACGATGCATCGAGGTTTCACTGTACACATATGAACTTAAGATGAATTATGTAAAGAATGCATTTGTATCAACAGATGATCATACATTCTTATTCTCATAAGTATTGGGGAGGGGGGCATGTTTGGCACACATGATTGTACTATGAATACAAAGCTATAGATAGGATGATGTACTGGATTTATCTTGTATAGGATATGGACCACAGGCAGGCTGTTGTGAACATGGAAATTAAATATTCAAGTTCCACATAAAGCATGACATTTCTTGACCAGTTGAGTGACTCTTAGGTTCCCAAGCAGGGCCCTCTTCATTAAGATACAGTTTTAGGAACTGAGAGGTGTGGATAAGACAGAAGTTCATTTCAATTCACATTTGTTTGTGAAACAAAATTTTCACAGTTAAAGCAAATATAGTTCTTTGTACAGTATTCTAGGCCTGTACAGTGAATTGTTACAAATATGTGGAGTATACACACGCTGCATTATGTAGCTATATGAATATGATAATCAAAAACTCATCATTTTCATATGAAAATTACTTGTTCTGCCAGGAACAAGGTATTTATTACACATCTCATCTTCATAAACTGCGTGTAAAGTTAAACACTATCATATGTTAGAATAATGTTACTTGCATTTTTTTGAGCATATGGTTTAACAGATACATGTAATATAATAGTACATTAATTCAGTAAACATTATAGTTATCATTGTTGACCATCTTTTCTCAAATTTAAAATTATACACTCATTTCTTTGTATCTGATGTATTATGACTTGTTTCAGACTCACTGGTTTATTTTCAGGTCCTCATTTGCCTCCACAAATCACTACACTTTTGGCAATTGCTAAACAGTGTGTGCCCCTAATTCTTTCAATTAAAAGATGTCTTTGTTAAAATGCTAAAACATTTCTTGTAGGGTATTTATAATTGTTGATAAAATTTCACTTGTTCTTCTGAGACACTTCAGGTTGCATGTTACCATAGCTCATGTCACCATCAAGATTACATCCTCACTAATTAAAACTCATTAAGATATCTTAGACCAGTGTTGTTTTGTGGCTGCTAAAGTTGTACTTAAAATGCACTACAACATTGTGTTTGTAAATCCACAGTTTTGGCTTGTGTTTATCATCATTACTATGTCTAATATTGAACCTGCATTTGGTTAATGTTGTTCTCATCCATAGTCTGGTGTGGATTATATAGAACCTGAAATCTCATCTAAAAGTGTTTTTAGTGGGCTAATGCTATGCTATTTTAAATAAGCAGGACAGTGAATATCTGTATAAAAGAATATATTATCATTATCAGCAACTTTGAGACTTTTGTCCAATATGCAAACCACGACTTGCATTCAGTATCTTCTTCTAGAAGAAATTTAACAGTACTGCAGCACATGGCAGAGAGAAAATGTTACTGTGTTGGTTGCACCATCTGAAGTAATAGCCCATAAGACATAGTATTCTCATAAAATGGATGGGTTGTGTGGTGTTTCATGTCAGTAGACAGCCTGTTTTAATCTCATAGTAGCATATGTTTTCAAGGGATGATGTGCAAATGGTCTTGTGAATACAGAGGGAAATAAAAATCCAAGTACTTTCGTAGAAATTAGGGATGTGCAGGTTATGTTAGAAAATAGAATTGATACTTGACCATTTGAGGTTTTGGTGCTATAAGCATGTGAAGCTTATTGATGTCAACTGCATTCTGAAATTTATTTTTCTCTCATACAAAATGTATGTGAAAATTAATGTATTAAAATTGTTATGTAAATTAGGACTATGTGGTAAGCAACCTTCAACTAAGTTACAAATTTATCCTTGTAATGATGTATGTCTGTGTCCCATAATTTAGCATTTTATTTGTTTTATTGAGAGGTTGTATTTATGAAACTACAACCCAAGCTAAAGGTGGTATTGTGTTTCATAAAATGCTATTTTTAAGAATAATTTTTATGGAATTTTGCCTTTTTTAATTTATTATTTTATCAGAAGACTGCATCAAATAAAATCTGCAAACAGATGGGGATGGCTGATTCAGTAATTTTGTAATGCATAGATATGAATGGTGATCGAACTTTAAAAGAATAATTAAAACTTGAATTTTAAACAGGTGCATTTTATATCAGATACGTTGTGCAATATGCTTGAAGTATCCTTTGTATATGAAGAATATATTGTGTATGTTTTAATGAGTCTTTATATGAAACAGTTACAACTCATTTAAAATTAATAACCCTAAATAAAAGAAATGTGCACAAAATTACTTCTTAGAAGTTTGCACAAATAGGTCTCTTACTGTTTTGTACATATAGCATGTTTATGAGCTGTCTTCGGTATTTGGTATCTCCTAATTAAATTTGCATTATGTTGCGACTCATTTAATGCTATGTAGACTTTCACCTTCAATAATCAGGGTGAAGTGTTTCAGTAATAATACATCTTATTTTCTGCCCTTGTTTCAATCTAATCTTCTTAGTTTACCTATGCTTATTATTACACAACATTTGTGTACTTCGCTGGGATTTGCTTTACGTCATCCAGTTTGGTTTCCACAGCCACCTGTTGTCATCTCTACTGCTAGTTCAACATCAATTACAGCAACAATAACTACGGCAACCCCAACTGTGCCTTCTAGTGGCATTGCAACAAAGGAGGAAGGGTCAGTTCAAGAACGGCGTCCGTCATGGAGACTTAGGGTTGATAATGGAGACAGGAGCAAGGTGTGTCCCATTGTGTGTGCATACGACAATTATCTGCCATGTCTTGGTAGTTTTATGCACTTGCAGCAACTGACTCCATGCATTTTACTTTGGTTTCAAGTTCGTATCATTAGATTCAGCACAGCATCCTGCAAGACATGACTCTTAGATGAATGTTCTTTATGTTTAATACTTTCCCATTATTCGTCATTTGTAATAGTCTTCAGACTTCAGTAGATGTTTTTCACTGTAAACATTTATTTCTGAGCTTTATTCACAATTTGCAGTGTTTCTTTCTTTCATTTATCACATTATTCTGCTTTGTACTTTCTTGAGCACTCCTCTTTTCTTTCTGCCTGTAGTTCATAATTGAATCTGTTGTGTCCCTGCACATACAGTTTTCTCCCATTTGTTGTTAGATTTTCTGTACCTACACCATATTTATTGAAAATTATTTGTACATGTTGCATTGTGTTCTAGAATGATATTTTTATACATCTGTTCTGAGCTATTTGTATCGATTGTCCAGTGTTTATCTCATGCATGAGAATGTTGTTTCAGTCTACCTGTACACATTCAGATTTGCATGATGCATGTCAATATCTTAATGTTGTGTCAAGAGGTAAAGGACATGTAAAGGAAGAGAGAACATGTTATGATGCTGTCTCATTAGTAGACTGACAGCGAATGAACTTACCAAATAAGAACACATAAAGCCTACTTTCCTATTGCAGACTGCCAGTCCTACAAATCCTTTTTTGTTGATGCTGTATTTGGGTAATATAAATTTGTAATCCAACAACAAAATGCAATGTAGGTCATGGATTGGCATGTGTGGATGTTTATACAACTGAATCCTTCTCGAGTCAGTTTTGTTATTGCTTTTAATTGTAGGTGTGTTTGGTGGTGGTGGTGGTGGTGGTGGTGGCAGCAGCAGCAGCAGCAGTAGTAGTAGTATTTCCTCTTTGTGAAAAACTTGTTACTTATGTACAGATTCTGTAGACATTAAGGCTGCCTAATATAACCTCAAAGTTTCACACTGCTACTATCTTCATAATTGTTGACTTTCAATATTGACCATTTCATTCAGAATTTCATAAACAGTGGTTAAAAAGATGAAAAGTGGAAATACAGACTGCATAGTTGTTTAATGTGCTTACTTTTTATGGGCACACATCTAAGAGCTACAAAAAATGCACCTATTAGCATCATTTTGTCTAGCTCTCCATACACAAGATCTTGAAAACACCAGAACAGATTTTAATAAATGTTTGTGTTAGTGAGTTTTACCAAAATCCAGTCACCTCCTGTTTTAGCAAAGCAGTAAGTACACATGATTGTTTCTATTTGTATATATTATGAATGATGTCACTCTAACCAAAAATTTGCCATTATGTCTACCAGTTGCCATTTACCTGTTTGCAGTGACCAAGTGCCTTAATGAATCCCTTAAGTATTGCTCAACTTTTTGTTTGAAGTAGCTTCTTTAGAGGAAAGCATGGTGATTGCAGCAGTACCAGATAATTATATATTCTTCACAAATATAATGTGCAGTAGAAGCCAAAATACATTTGTATTCTTTCTGTAGAAGGCAGTATTTCATGCACATTTTGTGGGAAATAAGGGTTTAGGTGGGATTTTAATTTGGAATCATTCTTTGTTGATTTCTTTCATACCTGTTCAGTGTACTTCACAGAGAATTGGAGAGTTGTGGAATTGTAGATAAAATGAGTAGGAACTCTGGATTTGCGATTTTAAAATGTTTGGGTGCTTCAGTTGGTAGATAATAGTCTAGTAGGAACTGAGAGACCAGATCCTGTCTTTGTTGTAGTGTGTTACAGGATTTTGTTGTTGTTGATGTTAGTGTATGCCATCTCACAGTGAACTAGTCTTGTTTATGAAGCACAGAAGTCATCATATGTTTGTCAACTGTTAATGACATTCTGAACATTAAGAAGCTGTGAACTAAATTTTATGTATATGACATCTTAAATGATGAGTCAAATGCTGAATGTTTTGCAAAAGTAATTAAATATAATCTTAATTTTTCTGAAATTGACATAATAAATCAGTTTCCTGTTCATTATGTGAAGAAATTTAATGAAGTAAAAAAAAATCTGTCCCAGTCTATGCCATGTAGGCATTTGGGTGAGAGGGGGCATATATAGCTCCTACTCATTCTTAACCTTGGCACTAGATGGGAGTGAGTGGTTAGCATCGTGCCCAGGCCCCGAGCTTTAGCCCCAGGAAAGGACCCGGGTACTAATTCAATAGGATGCTGGGCGGGCCCCAGAGCCAGTCTGGATTCAGAGACTAGAAAGATCCCCTGCCCCCGTTGGGGATCGAACCTCAGTAATCCAGTCTGTAGCAGTTACTACACTGACTGAGCTAACCTGGCTCTTTGAAGAAATTTAATAAGCATATCTAATTTCCTATAACAAAAAATTAGATTATTGCAACAGTTGAATTTCCCAAATTGAAAATAATTAACCTATTGGAGCAAAGGAGTCCTCAGGAAGCTTATCTAATCAAGAAATTTGCTGTGTTATGGAAGCCAGACATTATTAATAGGTTGATGGGAGTCTGTTACTGGTCTCTATCCTCGTGACCCAGATGAATCAGTCTGCTCTCTCCTCCTCCCCCCCTTTTTAGGATCATCTCATCTGCATTGATTAACAATGTAAAATAAAATCAATTTAAACAGTAACCAGCATTCATATCAGAAATGTTTTTCTTAAGCTAGAATATTGATCTTGCAATGTTTCCCTTGTTTGGAGTACCATAAGGGTTTAGGTTGATAATGTTTCATTTTAATATATCCTTTCATGATATTTGAAGTTTATTAAATTAATTGTACACATTAACAATTCTGTTATTGTTGTGGGCAGTTTATGTTGGAGGATGCACGGAATCGAAATTCTGTCAGTGAGAGTACTGCGCCATATGTAAGGAGACTGACAGGAAGTAGTAACACCACAGTCCGTCCATCATCTGCACCAGTTGAAAGTAATACTGCAGATGCTACACTTACAATACCCCTCCGGCGACAGACTAAGCCACCAGATGACAAAGGTAAAATTAGTTAAGTTGTCTGAACTTTCTGTTTCAGGTATTTGTGAAGGTGCACTAATAAAATCACATGTTCAGTGATTTTCATTTGGTAAATTTAGAGAAGTTGGAGTTGTGTTGGTGGTGTATATGATGGTATATTTTTATGAGGTGCAGAATGTACCTTTTACCTCTTTTTTTTGTGTAGTATTGTGGGCACAGACAATCTAATTACTTGTTTTCCCACATTTATTATTTCTTTTTTAATCAGAAGAATCCTGATAAAGTTACAAGGATTTATTGTATACAGTTTATTTGCTCTGCTACTTCCAATATTGGTGTTTTTAAATGCATATATTTTGCTGAGACTGTTATGACTCATACATGGCATTGTTAAATAAATTTCATGTGAAGTTTTTCATTACATTGAGTACAGATTAGGCTTTAATTATTAGATCCTGTTTATATTAAGGAGACCATTTAATTTTAACAAATGCTTTGAGTTGTGCTGGTAACCAGCATTATATGTGGGTGTGGTGGCAGCAGTGTACAACCTAGCAAAGCTTGCCAAAAGGAACAGTGTGCTGAAAAAAAAACTAATTATTTCAAGTTGGCTTCCAGAACTGCTTACAGATTTTTGTTGTTTGTTTTGTATGTATACATTATGATAATGGTGAAATTTCCCTGCCATAACTGATGCAAATTAATTATTGAATGTATGTATAATATAGTTAATTGAAAAGTACTGTTAGATTTGTTCTTTTATCAGAACAAGATAAGGAGAATGATGTCCGAAATGCACAAGCAACACAAGCTGTGATACAGAGGCGGAGGAGACCCAAGAGAAGGTCAACTGGTGTTGTGCACATTGATATGGATGTACGTATAAGTTTTCAAGCATTGCATTTATAAAAGCAGGTTATCTATGCATAAATTGCAGATATGGATAGAGGAAAAGTCTTTACATTTCAATATGTTGCCACTTTAGAGTAAGCTTAAGGAATGTGATGTTAGAAAGTAAATTGTGATTAGTCGTTTGTAGTTAACATAGGTTGCCATAAGAGAGACTAATTACTGTTATTTAGCATAAGAGAGAACTGGCATCAATTGATATTTGTAAAGAGAGTGGAAAGGCAAACTCTGATATGGAATACTTAATTTCCCAAATGTGTTGTCACATACTTCATTGGCTTAGATATTTGCTTTTTTCTGATAAAGATCGTGTGTCAGGACTTTCTTTTTTATTTGTTGATTGTTCTTCTGTATATCAATGTTTTGGAGGGACATGCAGCCTCTATTTCCAGGGCTGAAGATAAGGTCAGGCATTCGTGCTCTTTCTGGGTCCTGTATGCATCCATGATCTTGTTACGGCCTTTCAGAGAGCCCTGATCGCACTGCTAGAGCAAGTACCACCAAAATGTTTATACCCTCCTACAAGGACATATGGGTTCAGAACTCACCAACATCTTCATCCCTGTGAGGCCCTTATATCTCATGCATTTTATCTCTTCTTCATATTATACAATTTGAAGTCTTGATGTGTTAAATTTTATACCAGTTACCTTTCTAGAACAAGCTCATCTTCAACATTAATCTTTATTTGCATTTATAGGTATTATCTTCCTTCCATATTATAATATGCATTTTTGCAATAAACAGGAAAATAAACCAAATGCTGTATCTTAAAAGATGTCTATTTTATGTCATGTAAAATTATGGTGAGCAGTTTTGATAAGATAGATTTTTCTTTGAGTGTCATGCAGAGTAGGTGTTATATTCGCCCAGTGTAAACTGAAATTAAATTTTCCCAACAATCTTTAGTCTCATTTGCTGATACTAAATTTGTTACATAGTTTTGGATTCAAAGTTTGTGGATGGAGAGACACTTAGCTCCATTCTGCTTTCATTTTATGCATTTTTGTTGTAGAACTCTTTACCATTCACAGAATGAGGAACTCATCATTGTGTTGCTAAGAGCTGCAGTTGTTAATCACAAAGTGTTCTTTTGTGTGCTTTACATTCCACATTGCAGGACCTGAAGTGTAAAATTCACAAAATGTTTCCCACTGTTAGGAAAGGTATTTTTTCTCATGCAGGATATCAACCCAGATAGACAAGAATCACCTGTTAGAGATGGAGATGAGTTAATGAAGGCAAATAATGATGAGGTAAGCCTAGTAGTTTTTAATTCTGTGGTCAGTCTGTAAATTGTGTAACTACAGTGAAACCTCGATGCATCGTTTTCGGCGGGGGTGGGAAATAAAAACGATGAATGCGGGAAAGCATTAAAAATTTAAAAAAAAACAATGTTTCTCTTTCAAAGTTACTTCTTTTTACCAAAAAAGTCTTTAATGGACAACTGGTTTGTTGAAACTTTACGTTTTAGACCAAACAGAGCACTTTCCACGTTCAAAATGTTTTCTTCGTCACGTTCACTAATATTAAGCGCATAAAAGAACGACTTCACTTTCGCCAATGCAGCGTGCGCTTCGGCAAAACTCGGCAAAGCTTCGGGCTCGCATTCGTCGTCTCCCTCTTCCTTACCACTCCAACCCCCTTTGCGGACAATAACAGGAAGAATGGAAATACTATTACTGCCGAACTCAACGAAACGTAGCTGTAGAAGACCCAGAACCGCTGGAAACGAGATGAACCAGAAGAATGAAAAGTGCCGCCAGTCTTTCCTTTGTACTTATAATAAAAGCATTTGTGAAGAAATTCACAGTGCACATGCCATTTGGCATCGCTGGAACGAAATATGAGTGCCCCCTAATTAAAATCGTAAAATTTCTGACAATGAGCACCGCCATTCACTCCATCTATCACCCCTGCACCGCTGGTCCTCATTCCAAAAGATTGTGCTGGTTGGGCGACATAACAGGTTATCGCTACTGTGTATTCCAAATACATTGTACGTCTTTCGGTATTAATTTATCTCAAAACCCAGCATTTTAAATTCTCAGAAACGATCATTGCGGGAAAATTGTGGGGCGGGACTAAGATTTTTGAACGATCGATGCGATAAAACGATAGTTCGAGGAACGATAGAAGCGGGAAAATGTAACATTATTTTATATGGGATGTATTCGGGACCGAACAAAACGGACGATGCATCCGGGAAAACGATAGTTCCGGGAACGATGGATAGAGGTTTCACTGTATCTTAATGGAGCTGAGTCCTTAAAAAGCTTGTTTGTTGCTTAGGTAGTCAGTAAATTCCTCATATTTTATGAAAGCCATTGGTTCATTACTGTATAGCTTTTCTAAATCTGGAGACTTGATACACCACCATAATAAATTAAATTATTTGTGAGAAGAACTCTTTTTCTTATTATCATTTAGCTTGGTGTTTTAAGTAGGAAAGTCAGTATGTCATTATTTATCTGACTGATTTTGGTATATACACCCAGTTCCAAATCACAGTGAAATGTGCTGCACACAGGTTTCAGGATGAAACGTAGATATACGTAATATTGCCATCATGTTACTGGGTGCATTTTAGCACAGCTAAATTGAATACAGGTATTGCTAAAACTGCCCATTCAAATCTTGTCATTATAAAGTTTAACTAAAGCACCATGCCATGCAGATATATGGGAGAGAGGGGAGACAGTTTCACACATTCCTAACTTTCCATTGTGAATGGTTAAGATAATTAAATAGCATTGTTTTTAGTACCTAGGCATTACAAAATAACATGTAGGTTGTGCATTTGTGCTTATATCAGTACCCAACAGAGTGACTAATGACTTGTTTCTGGTGGACCTGTGGGTATTAATAGTAAATTACAGGAAATTTTGGCTGCACAGACTTCTATAGGTTATTTAC